AGGCCGACTTCGTCTTCATGTTTCTCTTCGGTGGTGTTCTCATGACTGTATCCTTCCTGTAGGTTCCGTATTACTAGGCCAAGGGACACCTCCATCTAGCCTGTCGTGACCCTGGGGTCTGACATGAAGTGCCCAGGCCAGGAGGAACAAACATTCAGGGCCTAGCAGCCCTGTAGCCTAGATGCCCTAGCTAGATCTTCAGTGTCCCTGCAGAGCACAACAGGGAGATAATAGGATAGACTGGTAGAACACGGGGACTCTGAAACGTGAATGCAAGAGCCAGAAGAACGAGCAGGCACGGGCATTGATGGAGACTGGGTACCTGGAAGCCCCAGACAGGGGTTCTTCTTGATATGGAATAGACCAGGGATATGAGGGAATCCCATTAGAGTCAGAGAAGCACTGTGGGCAGCAGATGACTCCAGGGCGCCTTGACTCTGGCCCAGCTGTTGGGATTCCTGGGCAGCCTCTTTTTCCTGGGACAGGCCCTCATGGCCATGCTGGTTTATGTATGGAGCCGGCGCAGCCCTCATGTGAGGGTCAACTTCTTTGGCTTACTCAACTTCCAGGCACCATTCCTGCCCTGGGCCCTCATGGGCTTCTCGATGCTGCTGGGCAACTCGGTCCTCACAGACCTGCTAGGTGAGCCTGCCCACCCTTCCCTTCCCACTCACCTCTGGCCAGCTGCTCTCATCAGGGCATGCAGCTGATACACCCACCCCCTCCCCCTGCACCAGACATCTTTCTCACAAACGTCCCAAACTCCTCCTCCTGTCCCAACGCCTGTTCTGTCCCTAAAGCCCCTCAAGCAATCCAGCTGGCCACAGGATTTGCATCTGTGGTTGACCTGCAGACACTGGAGTTGGTCCTGCCTGGCCGTGCGTGGTTAGTTTCTGCTTCCTGGCTGCTACTCCCACAGTGTTCTCAGGCCCCTAGTCCCTCCCGTCCCCAGGAACTGTCCACTTTGGGAATGCTTTTTGCCTTTCAAAGCCAGTTCTGATCTTACCCTGAACTGGCAGTTAACGGGGTACTTGTGCTCTGGGCTATCCTGGGCTGTGAAAAATGGCTCTGCCCTCCTTTGCCTCTCTTGCAGGGATTATTGTGGGTCACATCTACTACTTCCTAGAAGATGTCTTTCCCAACCAGCCTGGAGGCAAGAGACTGCTGCTGACCCCCAACTTTCTGTGAGTGTTGGACAACTATTTCCCTCCCTCAGGAGGCAGTGTACCTACTCCAGGGGGAACCTGTGTTTACTGCAGCTCAGTATAAATAATTGTCCCTTCCCCACAGGAAGCTACTACTGGATGACCCTCAGGAGGACCCCAATTATCTGCCCCTTCCAGAAGAGCAACCAGAGCCCTAACTGCAGCTTCAGGAGCAGTAAGCCCACCGGGTCAGCCTGAGGCTTCTGGCAGGGCTATACCTTCTCCTACAGCCAAACAACCCATCCAGAAGGCTGGGCCCACCAACAACCTTGGTGCCTCAGCCAGTGACGCCCTCCACTCCTCTGCACCATCTCTCTGCTCAACTATAGGTGGTAGGACATGGGGCCCAGGGTGGGTGACTACCTACGGATGCCTAGCAGAGCTCTGAACTCACTAACTACAGACCCACAGTTCTCATCTTCATGCTGCCAGTGCCTTGATGGAGCACCGGAACACTCCCCAAATACCCAGGAGCATGCCAGTCTATAGGTACCCTGCCTGTGGCGCCTGAGGGCTGACACCTACCCTCCTAGGCTCTGTCCTTGTTTAAAGCAAGTCTTCACGTTCTTCTCTGGCTGGCGACCCAAAGGTCCTCTGGGCTCAGGTGCAGAGAACAAATTTGGTCCTCTGGCGTTCTAGGAGCCCAGGGCCTTGAGCTCTATCTTAGCAGCACCTTGTGTATAGCAGAGGAAGTTCTGGGACGTTCCATTTGCTGAAGGTCCAGGAGTCCTTCCTACCCGCATCTCCTCTGATCCGAGGATGTCAATGTGGCCAGTTTTCCTTGTTGCTTTACATGTCCCACTGGGGCTTACTCCTGGATGCCCAAGAGCATGGGAGTTCCCCAAACCACTGCCTATTGTTTCTATGGCAACAAAAATGTTTTCTACTGAGTCTGACTCAATTTTGTAGCGAAACCTGGTGGGGCTGAAGCTGTGTTGCTCTGGAGTGCAGGTGTTTACAGCAGGCAGGATCTAGGGGTGTGTGTGTGTGGGGGAGGCAGAAAACTCCCTAGGAAGACCCACTGAGAGAGGGCAGCAGACTGTAGCTGGGGTGCTAGGATCACTGTCTTCAGTCAGAACCTGTATGCCCAGTTTGCCAAGCACAGCTTGGCTTAGTGCAGATCCATAAGCCACCTTAATGGATCCTATGTCCGTTCTATACTATACCACAAACCAAGGACAAAGGGGATGAGTAGCTTACAGAAGGCACAGCTTGGGGGGTGGGGGTGGGAGGGCACAGGGCTGTACCTCTTCTCCACATACTGCCAGCTCACAAGGATGGCACACAGCTGGTGTGCTTTTTCCCTGTTCCTCACAACAGGCTGGGCATGGAGAAGCTGGTCCAGGTCACAGTGGAGATGAACTTAGATAACCTTTTTTGGGTTGCTAGAACGTACACACAGAAGACTTCCTGTACTAGTGATGTCATGTCCAGGTGCTACCAACACTCATATGACCAAGTCCTCTAGAAGGGACACTAGAGCAAGATCCCCCAGCCGGCAGCAGCCTGTCTGGATGCAGCAGGACCAAGGCCAGCAAAGGAGCCTCTGACACAATGCTGTCAACCTCTACAGAGACTGCTGAGCACAGTGTGTCACTGTGTGTCACAGGGAAGCTGGGAGGCACAAGAAGGAGCAATGACTGGGCTCCACTTTGGGGTCCTTGTAGCTGCTGGGGCGTCCCAGTGGTCTCCATTTACTGACCTGAGGATTTGAGGGTGAGCAGGGAAGGACTGGTGCATCAACCTTGCCCACACACTCCTCCCACACGCAGGCTCTAACTCAGCCCCGCTCTTAGCTCACATTTTTATGCTATCAATACCAAAGAAACTGAACTTATTTTTTATTTAAAAAGTGTTACTAGCCCCGTCTGGGGCTCCTATACAAAAACAAAACACAACCCAAACGAGGTTGCTTCCTGACTCTAGACTTTGGGGGACAGTGCTGGGGCTTAGCAAATGGAATGTGTGCTGAAGGAAGGTACCCAGGAGGCCCTACCCCATTCCTCAGGATGGCACCAGCTGTCCCTTTGCCTCTCTCTTTACCACAGAGGAAGGCAAGGCAGGCTTTTGAGATGCTCCGTGGAAGTTGAGCATGGATGGCTTCATCACCAGGCTGGGGCCGTGTTGGCGAGACGCCTCATTCGCCTGGAGCAGGAGAACAGGTGGTCAGCTGGGGCTTGTCACAGCTCTGGGTGGCCACCCTCCTAGGTATGTTATTTTTCTAGAGTAGCTAGGTGTGGGGCCCATGTAGCAGGAATGGCCTCTAGCCTTTTCTTAACCTTGGCCAGTCTGCTATACAGACTGCTTATCTCTATGGACCTGCTAAGGGATGTTGTTTCCTTCAAGGAAATGTACCCTGGGGGCTGATCCCCACAGAAACCGCCTGTGCCAGAGAAGACAGGTGTGCCTGTGGTGTACCTTGTGTTCCGGTCTTGATCCCGGATCTTCTTCTCCATCTCAGCATCGGTCAGTGTCTCCAGCAGGGGGCACCATTGGTCAGCATCTCCTGTATTTCGGATGGCAATCTCCACTGTGGGAAGTGGGTTCTCACTGAGGAAAGGGAAACAAGGAGAGGAACAAGGGCTCATTAACAGACTGGCAGCTCAGAAGTCGCCCAGAGACCACTGGTTTCTACTCTGCCATTAGCAGCTGGCCAGGGAACAGCAGCAAGGCCCACTTCCTTGTCCCAGCTTCTCCCAGCAGCAATGCTGGGGCAGCTTGGGGGATGACTTTTGTTACTGAACCTCTAGCATGATGGCAGGACCTGTCCAGCAGAAACAGTACTACCTCCAGCCTGGACAGCCTCCCTTCAGAGCCAATTCTCAATAAGAACTGAGGGAGCTGCTAGCTGTGGAGGTAGTTTCTTTGGGGTCAAGCCTCTTGCCAGTGGACACAATGGTGGGAACAAAATGGGATGAAGGCTATGAGGGTACAAGTACTGCGAGGTGGATGTGGCTGTGCCGCTCTGCACCTTGGTTTCCAAGCTGGTAAGAGGAAGCTAAGGAGGTACTGGATGTGTTACAGCAAACCCTAGCCTGGCAGGAAGCCTCACAGCAAGGCTCTAACCAGGTCCTCTTTTCCCTCCACCATCACACTGACCTTCCAGCGAGGCAGCCTCCCTGTCACTTGAAGCCAGCCTCCCTATTCTACCTACGGTCCTAACCAGGTGTGTGCCACCTGCTGTCCTGCAGCACCCTGTCAGCGCTGGGAAAGGAGGAGGCAGAGCCCAGAGTTTACTGTCTGGAGGCTTAACATTAAAGCAGCCAACATTGATTGCAGAGGCCTCTTCAGAGCCAGACAGGTCCTTACACAGCCTTTCAGGCTTCAGGAATGGTAGTTCACAAAAGCAAATCCCTACAACCAGATTTGACAGCAGAGTCACAATTCTTCATCACGGCACCAAGCCAGTACAGGCCAAACCTGGCAGCTGACAGCTCACCCTAGCCCAGCTCAGAAAGGCTGCGCTAGGGCCAATTCTTAGCATAAGGGTTTCAGGGACTTTGAGCTTGGATCAAGGCCAGAGTATGGGTGAAGCAGACTCCAAGGACCAGAGGAGCCCTGGTTCCTTGGCTGATACAGGCCTGACATAATCTGAATCTCAGCTGACAACAGGAAGCCCAAACTCCTGCTAGTGACTCAGAGGTCAGGGACCAGTCATACCCTCCCCTGTGGTCCCAGGGCCAGCCTCTTCTCAGCAACTTCATTTGGAAATCCAGGAACAGCCCAGGCAGACTCATCCCTCATCTCCAGGTCATCTCCCTTGGGAGGGCAGACTTGAAATGCACCAAGCTCAGGCAGAAGGAAGCAAACATGTTTTTCTCTGAATTAAAAGAAGAGCTGGCAAACAGACTCCTTTGTTTACCTCCTCTTAACACTGGGGAAGATTTCACACCATGGGTTGATTAAAAATAGAACCAGTAGAGCTGACCATGGAGGGATGGGCGTAGAGCCAACACTAGCTGCCTCAGCTTTGTGGGGACATGCAAGCAGAGATGCTGCCCTGAGTCCCAAATCTGTGAGCCAGCATCCATTATTCAAGGAGATTCCTACTCATGAACTTTGAGGTCAGGAAGGACCCTGGACATTCTCCTACCACACAAATACTCATTTAAGGGCTGTCAGAAGACAACAGTGAGAGGAAAGACTGATGATAATGGTGTGTATTTGTGTTTATTTTTGATGTAAGGTTTTTGTTGTTTTTTAAGACTTTTCTTTGTGTAGTCCTAGCTGTCCTAGAACTCAATATGTAGAACTCAGAGATCTGGCTCTGCCTCTCAAATGCTGGGATTAAAGGTGTGCACTACATGCCAAACCTGGATGTAGGACTTTGTTTTCTGTGATGTACAGGCAAGCTGAGAAGCAGTTATCACCCTCCCCCTATAAAGAAGAGAACGGAATGGGCGTTGGTGGCGCACGCCTTTAATCCCAGCACTCGGGAGGCAGAGGCAGGCGGATCTCTGTGAGTTCGAGACCAGTCTGGTCTACAAGAGCTAGTTCCAGGACCGCCTTCAAAGCCACAGAGAAACCCTGTCTCGAAAAAACAAAAACAAAAAAAAATAAAATAAAATAAAAAAAGAACGGAGATGAAAGAAATAACCTGCCGAAGGCCACTTAACTGGGGGAAAAGGAGACCAAATTCTACACTCACCCTAATGTTTGCAAGCCACAGTTGTCATGCCCCTTAAAGGCATGATGAGAGTTCCATAAACTCACTCTGGGCAAGCTGTTGATACAATATGCCTCTGCATTAGCCAATGCTTTCTTACATGTGACACAAATACAAAGTGTGCGTGCGTGCGTGCGTGCGTGCGTGCGTGCGTGCGTGCGTGCGTGTGTGTGTGTGCTAAAACCAGATGAACTGGACTGTTATTTCATCAAAACAACTTTTGTGCTGCAAAGGACACTATCAAAGTGAAAAGGCAACTCAGAAAGAAATACAAATCCTACCTACTAAGGAATGTGTATCCAGATTATATGGAAAATTCTTTCAAATCAACAAGAAGAAAAACCAGTTAAAAATACTGGCCAGTGAGAAGGCTCAGTGTGAGGTTCTGAGTTCCCACAGGGTAGAAAGAAAGAACTGACTCCTAAATTTGTCTTCTGACTGACACACATGTACATAGGCACCCCACCACCCCAATAAGCTGGGGTGAATGACCCGAATAAGCCATTTTCAAAGACACACACACACACACACACACACACACACACACACACACAGCCAATAATCACTGAAAAGATACTAGGAAACACAACTCCAGCCTATACTCACTTGACACCCACCAGGATACCTAGAGTCAGAATGGCAAGACAAGCCAGGGCAAGGGTGCAAAGCCCAGACCCACAGCACTGGTGGGTTCAGGAGGATGCTGCAGCCATTGTGATAAACAGTTTAGCAGTTCCTCAAATGCCAGGTGTGCCAGCTCATCATATAATCCAGGCTCATAGGAGGCTGGGTCAGGAAGACTGCCATGAACTACATATTCGAGGCTAGCCCGGGCTACAAAGTGAGATTCTATCTCAATAAAAAGTTAACCAGTTACCATATAATCCAGAAATACTACTACTGGGTAAAGAGCCAAGAGAACTGACAAGAGTGTTTAAACACAAACACACAAATGTCCTTAGCATTATTTACTATAGCCAAAAAATAGAAACAACCCACAATAGAATGGATAAGTCCAATGTATATAATTAACCAATGGGATATTATTCAGCTATAAGACTGGAGTTCTGATAATGTTTTAACATCAATGGCTGCTGAACACATTATTCTAGGAAAGCTAGTCAACATAAGGCTACACAATGCCACCCTGGGCTTTGTGGCAGGACCTTGGCTTCATAGAATGAAAACCAACCAGACTGAACTAAACATACATAGAAGGCCAGG